TGGGAGCTAGCTCCGGCTACTTGGTTCATGGATATTGATCTCCCTACAACTATTGGGGGGTGGTTAATCAATAATTTCTTGGTGTTTTCATGGCGAAACCACAAGCTCAAGCTCTTCTTCTTCTTCTTCTGCTCCTCTTCACACCTGGTTTAGCACTCTCCGCCCACCGCCGTTCCGAGCCGCCGCCGCCGTCATCTTCCTCAGCTCCGGGAACAAGAACCCTACTCCACTCCCCTGAGAACCACCAAGATTCCACCATGCAACTCAATGCTGCAGCCGCAGCCGGCGCCGGAAAAGCGAGTTCTGGCTCGGAATTCCGAGTGTCCGCACATGAAGTTCCTAGCGGTCCAAATCCCGAGCAAAACAAGTAAATCTAGCTAGCTTATCTCTCTCTCTCTCTATATATATATATCTCTATCTCTATATGTATATCATGGCTTATTAATTTGTGGCATATATATTTCTGGGTTCTATCTTATAATCCATGTTACTGGAACTACATGAGAGCTAGGGTCGGTCCATATATCGTACTTGTAATATGTATACAGAGAATACACTGCCTTTTTTATGTTTATATTATTCAGCTAATTATGCATATATGTCAGAGCCTTATACTCTATTTACAATTTTACATATATACTTCTCTTGCATTCTGCAAAAAATTGAATTCATATGTTATATTCACACTAAACGGTGAAAATTAGACGATTAAATCCATCAATTCACAAGTAACTAATGAATAAACATAAATGTTAGTTGTATCTATATATAGTACCGGTTCGATACACAAAGTCCTATTCTTAAAATTTTTAATTTAATTTTTTTTTTAAATTTGAAATGATTAACTTTCAATTAAACTAAACCAAAACCCTAAACTTTACCTATCATCATATCATATTATATATACCTTGAGCCCATGTCTTAGCTTAGCTTGTAGTATTTTGCCACATTATATTTAGTTTGGTGGTATTGCTGTTATTCCATTATATATTATATTATACATGATTGTATTTGGTACTATGAATATTGATAATGGTATGGGTGCACCGGCACTATATATAGAGAGAAATCTTTGTAAATATAGGGAAGAGGGGAGGATGTTTGTAATGAGACATGAAGTGTATGTGTTTGTGAATGTCAAGATAAGATTTGAAGATTGAATTAAGGTAACTGAGACAAGAAAATTAAGGCAAAAATAGCAGTGTTGTCAGATGCCTTTTCTCCATGGCCACACTTTCTGGTTGAGTGTCTTGGCTCTCAGAAATTATTATTATCAGCACAGTACTTCCATGGATTTTTGCGACTGTATGTGTTGTCAAAAATGGTGGCCCAGGCCTCCAAAGGGTAACTGAGTAAGTGAATTATAATTAACGTATCAGAATATTACGAGTTTAATTTTTGTTAATACATTTTTAATATAACAGTTGCACAAAATCTATGTGAGTTATATTTTCTTGTAACAACATAGGAATTATTAAATAAGAGATGAGTTTATTTGTAGCTGAGTTTCTTAAAAAGTATGGTGGTCCAGAAACAAACGCTCTGAAAATTATACACCCAAAAAAAGTAGAGATGATATCTGATATGATGATGATTTGATCATTATCACTGTGTGAATTGTAATAATTGGTTGCTTCTATTTTATATATATATATATATATTTTTTAAAAAGCATTCATCATGCTATACCTAACATCTTTGCTTTTTTCTTTTTTGATTTTCCTTCACTTCTCTCTCTGAAAATTATATATATCCTCCCAAATATTCTGTCGGGTCGGGATTGGGGATTCAACTTTTTGAAAGAAGTTTAAGCCTTTTGTAGAACAAACGCCTATTATCTTATGATATAAACATGTATAACGATTTCTGTATTAGTATTAATTTCTTCGAGAATAATTTTAAATGAAATAATTCATGTCTTAATAACCTATCTAATTATATTGTATATATACACCCCTTCACGAGTTCACACACACGACATATGTATTTGATCATGTTTATGTTTGATGCACACAAATGGAATGAGCTATCCACATCAAATTCAGTGTTATTTCTCTTTCTATTGGCATTATTGCTCTACCACTTATTTTGTTATTTTTTAACTTTGGGCTTTTTATATAAAACAAATTGGAAAAGGGAGAAGAAGAAAAATTCAAATTCCTAGAAGATCGACAAAGAGAAGACGCCAAAATGTAGCCTGTAATATTTATTTCTTTTTAATTTGTACACATATATATACAAAATGAAAATCATTTTTTCTATATCATAAAATCAAACTCTTCAGAAGAAAATAGATAAACTTTAATGGGCTGTTTGATTCACGGAATAGGCCTGAAATGGCATATCATTCCCAGTAATAGGTTTATTCTTCTGTTTGGTAACCACTTGTATTTCTAAGAACATTGTTCCCAGGAATGACCTATTCCCCTTACAAGGGGAATAGACATTCCTGGGTTCCTGGTATTAGGCTATTTCTGAGTTCTCGGGAATAGCCTAAAGTTTATATTTTCTATTTTACCCTCAAATAAATTTATTATTTATTTCACCACCGCCACAATCGCCACCAGCAGCAGCACCACCGCCGCCGCTGCCACCGCCACCACCACCACCATCACATATTTTTATAAGGGTATTTATGTATTTTAAAACATATTTCATTTCCATTCCTCAAATCAACCAAACACAGTAATGTAATCCTAAAGTCTATTCCTTCCGCGAACCAAACAATAGAATACAATTCCTATCCAAACAATAGAATACAATTCCTATTCTATTCATTGCCTATTCCATTCCCTATGAAATAACATTCCTATTACCTCAAAATTCATTTCGTAAACTAAATGTGCTGTAATAGGTTTATGATGTTTGTTGTCTAAAAATTTTAGACTAAACCATTTTTCTTAATTGACAAAATTCCAAAAAAAAAAAAAAAAAAAAAAAAAAAAAAAAAAAAAAAAACTAATGGGTTTGCCCGTTGGATGACCTAATATGTACTGGGCCTATCAACTACTCAAGGAGTAAAATTAATTAGGTCCACAATCCTAGGACAATAATACATTATGTTAATTGGACATTTGGACCTAGCTAGTTACCTTAACAAATTGTGCTACATTTTAATTTGCTAGAGTGATTACATATGTAAAGAAGACATGTGTATTAAAGTACAGCAATTTATATCCTACACCACGGCGTACATTGCACTATGCGCCCAGATGCAAAACGACGTCGTTTTAATTATTTTTTTTTTTTTTTTGAATTTTCCCGCCCCAGTGAATGGCAGTAGGCTTTTCTTTAAAAAAAAACCCGCTGTTCAAGAATGTACATAATGTTATACTTGAATACACATAATGTTATACATGAATACACATAATGTTATAAGAAAATATACATACTCTTTTTAAAAGATAATACACATAATCTAACATAATACATAATAAACATAAACTTTTAACATAATACACATCAACTCTTAACATAATACATACAAATTTTCTGATTCGAATGTACATAATTGTATAAAAACAATGTACATAATTGTATAAAAAATACACATAACTGTATGAACCAATACACATAACGTTGTGAACGAATACACATAACGTTGTGAACGAATACACATAATCTCAGCAACTTCCTACCGCGCCTCCCAACACGACCCCAAAACGACGTCGTTTTGGGAGGCGCGCGGCGCACAGTGCTATGTGCGCCGTGGTGTAGGATATAACGATTGATTAAAGTACATATATAATGCCAAAAATCTTGTGATTAAGTGGCATAAATGTTGCTCTTTCAAATAAGCTAAGGTGATATCTTTATTGAGTTATGCTCTTGCCTTTCTTCATATAACAACTAATGCTCACTATATATAAATATAAACTAACAAGTATTTCATAAGGTGAATGGAGGAAAATATGCCTTCATTTAGAAAACAATTTTCATGCTATCAAAATCACCCAAATCATTGTTAATCAATTCCTACCATTCATGCAAGAATGTGCATGCTTTTTATGCTCAAAGTGGGGATTCAGGTTGGCTGAGGTGCGGGGAACCATTGGAGTTGGAGATTTAGCTTTTCGGAGAAAAATGTGCATGCTTCATATGAATTGAACTTGTGACTTTTTGATACAAGAATCATACGTTACTTTACTCTGGGAGCTGTTTAGTGGTCTTATTGATTTGATCCAGTTAACTATATATATATATATATATATATATATATATATATATATATATAGACTAAAGAGATTGATGATTTATCTCATCATTGTGATTATTTACTATTTTATTTTCAATTAGGATCACAACTCACAAGAGTACAGTTACGTTGTACCTTATATATTATAGTCCTTTGTTAGTAAGAATTACTAAAACCCCATAACGTATATTTGATCCGTAACGGTGGACTTTCCCGTCAATCAAAGAAATAAAAATTGAACGTAGGAGGGTAGATGCAGTACAAATATTTATTTAATGCACAGACAAGACGGTGATCGTAATAGTCCATTTTGATTGTTGAGTCGGTGCAATGGATTACGAATTGAAGTATATTTAAGTGATCAAATTAAGATAATCTTTTAATGGAAACTGCCACAATTAGAATATTTTTGTTAATTATTTTTGGAACAAAATATTTTTTTAATTAATCCTCTTAATAAACCTTTAATTTGTCTCTCGACCTCATCATTGAACCACAGAGTATGAACGTATGTAGAGTGGCGATGAAAGTTGATATGAAATTTCAAAGGTTTTTGAAAGCTAATTTTATTATATAGTTGCATGCAAGCTAAGGATCGGATGAATATATATATATATGATTTATATGCAGAGCAGCTTTAATATGCAATTAAACAAAATAAAAACTGGTACTATATTTTTTATTTTAAGTACCAATTTTGTTACATATAGATCAGATATGGGAACTTAAAGAATTGCAGGTTGAAGCTGCTGCATGGCATATTGGCATGCATGAATATTTGATCGATCAATGGGCATCGCCACCGTTATCGCTGCCAAAGCCGCCTCCGGCTCCTGCTCCGCCACCAAAGCCGCCTCCGCCTCCTGCACCGCCACCGAAGCCTCCACCTCCTCCAAAGCCTCCGCCACCACCACCGCCAAAACCGCCACCTCCACCTGCACCACCTCCGAAGCCACCACCAGCGCCCCCGCCTGCACCGCCACCGAATCCACCGCCAGCTCCACCTCCGCCTCCGCCGCCTAGTCCACCACCGCCGCCTGCTCCGCCGCCGAAGCCTCCACCGGCACCACCTCCCGCTCCACCACCAACGCCTCCTCCTTTACCAAAGCCTCCACCGGCACCTCCTCCGGCGCCACCTCCTGCTCCACCACCAACGCCTCCGCCTTTACCAAAGCCTCCACCAGCACCTCCTCCACTCCCGGCACCACCTCCTGCCCCACCACCAACGCCTCCACCGGCACCACCTCCTGCTCCACCACCAACGCCTCCACCGGCACCACCTCCTGCTCCACCACCAACACCTACACCGGCACCACCACCAGCACCTCCTCCAACTCCACCCCCACCACCGGCGCCGCCACCTGCTCCACCACCAACTCCACCCCCAATGCCTCCTCCTTTACCGAAGCCTCCACCGCCACCGGCACCACCACCAGCGCCTCCTCCAACTCCACCTCCACCTCCGGCACCGCCACCAACTCCACCTCCAATGCCTCCTCCTTTACCGAAGCCTCCGCCGGCACCACCACCAGCACCTCCTCCAACTCCACCTCCACCGCCTAGTCCACCACCACCACCTCCTCCTGCTCCACCACCAACTCCACCCCCAATGCCTCCCCCTTTACCGAATCCCCCTCCAGCACCACCTCCAACTCCACCTCCACCGCCTAGTCCACCACCACCTCCTCCTCCAGCTCCCCCACCAACACCACCCCCAATGCCTCCTCCTTTACCAAACCCTCCACCAGCACCTCCTCCTGCACCCGCTCCACCACCTAGTCCTCCCCCGCCGCCCCCACCAGCTCCTCCTCCAATGCCTCCTCCACCTCCTAAACCGCCACCACCACCAGCTCCACCTCCTATACCTCCACCAGCACCACCTCCTAAACCGCCACCCCCACCAGCTCCACCTCCTATACCTCCACCTGCACCACCTCCTAAACCGCCACCCCCACCAGCTCCACCTCCTAAACCTCCACCAGCACCACCGCCTAAACCGCCCCCACCTCCAAGACCACCACCACCTCCAGCACCGCCACCAAAACCACCTCCTCCACCTAACCCACCGCCGCCATCTCCTCCTATACCTCCACCCGCACCGCCTCCAAAACCACCACCCCCACCAAGACCTCCATTCCCAGGCACAATCCCCTTCCCAAAAAACCTTTTCTTAAAAGGGATCCCTCGATGAAAAAACTTCTCATCACCACCATTATCAGCAGAAGCTGCAAGCACATTGACACACAAAACCACCAAAAGAAACCCCCCAACAAAACGATCAGAAACCCCCATACTCAACTCTCAACTAGAACGTACAAGCTAGAAAGAATTATTATTATTATTACCCCGTAATAATAATTAATTAAGATCAAATAGCGAAAAGAGTGAAGAAACTAAACCCTGAACATGCAGAAAAACACCATACGTGACTACATTATATAGCGGAAAAACCACATGGTAGGACCACCTTAACTCAACTGTCCTCCACTCAAGAGTAAATGAATACTGTTGTTTCATTGGCCAATGTATTTAATTTAATTATTTCATGCACCTGCCTGCCTGTCTGATCTCCTATTCACACTCTTAATCTACCCAGATTTACTGAATTCTACTTAAACGATTCAAACTCTTTCCACTTGACCCAAAAATTTAAGTCCAAAAAGTGAGATTTTGAGTCACTAATTGGGCGGTCAGAAGACAGGATATTGGTAATCTTTAAAAGAAGACAGGCCCCGGCCCCCCTAAACACTGAACAATTTACATTTACTACTTCCATCTGTTTCTGGGATTTCATTTGACTTCCGAGGTGTCGCATTAAATGTTATGTTTTTAATCCTTGAATTGACATAATCAATCCCATTCCGAGTTGCTTTCTTTCTGTTTCTGCGTTGGCGGGTTTGAAAAAAAGGGGTTCGAATTGGTGGGTTTTTGTAATCGATGAATCCCATCTCCTTCTTCATCATTACTGTTCAGTATTCAGTACCTCCGCGTCCGCCATTAATGCAACCTTGAATTGCTTGCATTTTCTTCTGCATTTATTGGGCCTCTTCAATGATTTCTCTCCTATCGTCCCTTTCCACTACTGTAGCCGTTGAAGAATTTTTCTTTTCTTGTGAATGGCATCATATCCCACGTGGCATGGTTTAATGATGTTTTTTGGGTTCTTATGTTAGTAATTACGCACTTAATCTACTCATTGTATTCTATAGTGCGTGTTAGTTTAGGATTATACTGTGGTTAATTTGTTGGTTTGCACATTATGCAAACCATAGGGTATTTTGTAAATCTTTGACTAAACTTAATACACAATAATGTTAAATATAATATATATATATATAAAGAGTAGTTTCGAGTTTTAAATTAAATGCTTGGTTTGACCTGATCGAAGGTGTTGTGCATGCGACATGTGTCATTAAAAATTTCGAGTTTTATAGGATGTTATGAAAATATCACGGATTAAACTCGATATGAAATGTGTACATGTCTTTGACTAGACTCGGTATTATATAAAATACGGAGTATCAAATTATATAATCAATTTTAAATTCAAGATGCGGTTTGTTTGACTTGATGACAGACGTTGTTGTGCATATATATGACATGTCGTTGAGAATTTCAAATTTGAATTATATATGTCGTGTTTCGTTGGTTGGTCCGCACAATATGAAAATATCGTTGACTAAACTCGATATGAAATGTTAAATTCAAGTCATTTCAAATTTTAAACGGTTGGTTTAACTTGATCGATAGTGTTGTGATTGGAAATTTTGACATATTAACACTTCGTGTTTGTTGTTACATAGTGGCAAATAACTTAATTAAAACTATATAAATTAAAGTGACTCTATGTGAATTTTTTTAATAGTAATAATTGTATATTCCTTAGCTTTCATTTGATTATAATTTTATATTTATTGGATATTCATGTTGATCTCATAAATTGGCATACCAAATCACAAATGATCGATCATAATCCTTTACAAAACACAATAGGTACGGTCCAACAGTATTTTTGTATGTGTTAGGTTTAGTCAATATATAAAAGTTTCCAATAGTAATATAATTACTTTGGTCCCAATCAATTAATTACATTACTTATTGAATGTATGATATTTAATCATATCGAATTATTATCTATATATTAACAAAAATTTCAATACACGTACACACAAATTCGCAAAATATATCTTGGATAAAGCTAGGTCCGTTATGCACATTGTGGATCATTGTTCAAAAGGATGTTATTTTGTTTAAATTAGTGCAATTTTTTTTCTTTTATTTTCCTTTCCTTTGGTCAACATTCACATTTGCAGTAAATACATAATTTGTTAACTATAAATGTATGTGTCAATTAATTTTAACCTTGTTCTAATTTAAGTTCATAATATGTGAATTGTAGGTAAATAAATTAAATTTAAAGCTAAAGGAGTAAATGTTCGATAATAAATTGAATGGTTGACATGTAACTATGATTATGGTATAGTTTTAAGAGATATTTAATTGAAAATTAGCAAGCTTTTGCTATGGACTTAAGGTATTAATTTACAAATTTGTAGTTAATAGATTATATATGTATATACAGTTAACATGTTATGTACTTGTAGTACTACACCAACATGTTTATGATTTGTTTATGATTGGATGAAGAAATGAGAGAAAAAAAAAACAATACTAATTTAAAAAAATGGCGTCATTGACCATGGTCGATAATGTGGACCCTGAAACACAATATAATGATGGCAAACAAATTCATCTTTGATATATTTAACATATTTTCTTTTAAAATTTTTGTGAAGTATTATGTTTTAAGGTCATATATACTAAATTTGATATCCCCTTTCATTGCTGGAAATTATGGAATTTCCAACCACCTGAAAGTGATCTTAAATCAAATTAAAAGTCTTATTTCGATCACTTTTAGTATCCGAAAAAACCTTTATTGCTATTTCCGATCACTTTTTGCTTTCAACTTGATTTAAGATCACTTTCATGTGGTCGGAGATTCCATAATTTCCAGTAGTGTTTTTGTCAAGCAAACCGTCTCTCCGGCCCCTCGCTAAACCTATAGCCCACTTACCATTTTAGTTTCACTAGCTCACCGATTGCGCTCTAGTTGAGTTCAAGACTCAAATCGAGACCGATGTCTTAACAATCTTTAAATTTTAGTTCTATTTGGAAAAAAAGTAAGAAACTATATATATAAATTGTTGGGTGTCGATTGGGTTGGTCGAGTCCAGCATTAGTTTGATTCGAGACGTGGCAATGTAGCTTATTATGGAGGAGTGTTGTTAAATGGTTAATATCCACATACTTATCAAGTAGGATATGACAATTAGATAGTCATAGAACTCTATAGTTAAGCGTGTTTGACTTACAATAGTCACATGATGGGAGATGTAAGCATAGTGCAGCGCTGTGATCCAACATAAATCCTTTTTATGGGCATCATTCTAGTTTGCTCCTACCAAAAAAGTCTTGAATCACTGTGACTTATTCATCGACTATTTTGATAAGTCGATATGTGAGACATACTCTTGGCCAGGGAGATCGATTTCGTCTTTGAGGGAAGAAAACACACAAATAATAGATCATCATCATCATCATCACGTATGCAAATTTCAAAAGTTTTGGTGTTCATCGTCCAGCTGACCTGCTAGCTGCCATGCAATATAATTATGTTACACTGACAAACTAGAAGTTAGAAGGAGAGTGGGAGGATACGAACTTAATTACGGAATTAATGCTCACAAGTCACAAGTCTAACGTGGAAGGTGGTTTACAAAGAATAATGAACAGACCGATGTAAATGTGTAGAGACTTTTCCAAGCCCTAATATATGATACAATATAATAATATAATGGAGCTTTTATTCTTCCCAAACTATAATGGAGCTAATTTTGAATTGTTCGTGTTTGTTTATTCAGATTTTTAAAATTTTGATTTGTGTTCATTTGTTAAACTTTTATTAGTGTTTGTTAACGTTTTGCGAATGTGTTTGTTAACATGGGAGTAGATGAATGGAGATTGATCATACTTTTTGATAAAAGGAATAAGGTTCAAATTGGCCACTGAACGTAACCTGAAAATGTAATTAGGCCACTGAACGAACAAAAAGTGCAATTAGGCCACTGAACTCTCTAAACGTATGCAATTTCACCGGATAGCAGGTTACCATCAATTTTAGCAGGTTACCTGCTTACGTGGCAGCTGAGTTGGCAATTTTAATAATTTTTAATAATTAATTTTAATAATAAATTTTATAAAAAATTGAAAAAAAAAAATAAATAAAAAATTAAATAAAGTCGTTTTTATTTTTTTAATTTTTTTTTTAAATAAAAATTTATTATTAAAAGTTATTAAAAATGATTTAAAATTTATTAAAAATGCCAACTCAGCTGCCACGTAAGCAGATAACCTGCTAAAATTGAGGGTAACATGCTATCAGGTGAAATTGCACATTTTTAGAGTGTTCAGTGGCCTAATTGCACTTTTTTTTTTTTCATTCAGTGGCCTAATTGCATTTTCAGGTTACGTTCAGTGGCCAATTTGAACCTTATTCATTGATAAAATTAAGGGACTGGTGCCCTCCATAATAGTGGATGGTACTCTACGGTCAGGTCCGGTAGATCTGCGATTGCTGATTAGATCCGTTGTTCGTTGCTTGGTACTCTGTGGTGGATGGGTGGATTTATCAAAACGGGAAGGCAAAATCAAAACCTAAAAAATTGAATGTGAATGAGAATTATCAAATTGATTTACTCTATCCTAGTAGGAGTAGGACCGTATGAAAAATATAAGTAGAAATTTTTAAAAATATATATATAGGCTTAATGGTTAAAATAAAGTACTAATGTAGTATACTAGTATATTAAAACTAAATAAAATAAAATAAAATAAAATAAATTGTATTTAAATGAGCTTGTTTGCGAACAATCTTAATGAGCATGTTCATAAACATACCTTATTAAACAAATATTAACGAGCTTGTTTATGAACATTACTAGATGAATACTAACGAGTTTGTTCATGAGCTCTTAACAAACCAGTCTACAAACGTTTCGACTCTGTTTGTTCATTAAACGAACTCTAATATTTGTTCATTTATATTTGTTTACCTTAAGGAATACGAACATATATAAGTTGTTTATCGAAACATTTGTTCACTAACGCCCAACTTTAATAGGTGCTCTACTTATACAATTACAACACGTTTGGTTCACGGAATGAATTTTGAGGTAATCGAAATGCTATTCCATAAGGAATGGAATATGTAAGGAATAGAATAGAAATTGTATTCTATTGTTTGGTTCGCAGAAGGAATAGACTTTAAGAATTGTATTATAGTGTTTTGTTGATTTAAGAAATAGAAATGAAATATGTTTTAAAAGACATAAATACCCTTATAAAAATATGTGATGGTGGTGGTAACAGTGGCTGTGGCAGCGGTGGTGGTGGCGGTGGTAGCTGCGGCAGCGGTTGTGGCGGTGGTGCTGCTGGTGGCGGTGACGATGGTGAAATAAGAAATAAATTTAATTGGTGGTAAAATAAGAAATATAAATTTTAGGTTAACTCAAGAATAGCCTAATACCGGGGGGCCCCCAGGAATCTCTATTCCCCTTGCAAGGGGAATAGGTCATTCCCGGGAACAATGTTCATGGGAATACAAGTGGTTACCAAATAGAGGAATATGCCTATTATTTGAAATGTTATGCCATTTTAGGCCTATTTCGTGAACCAAACAGCCTATTATAGTATTATTATACTATAGTTCCCCGCGCAATGCAATGATGCATGACTTGTGGCAAGTAGTGTTGTAGTGGCAGGTTTTGGTTGGTTGACACTGTAAACAAGAAAAGTTGTACAGTATATATTCAAATTTCAAAATTGTGCGGGTATAAGATCTCTATCAAAAAGTCATCTGATTCTTCACTGGGTTTACTTGACTTGAAATTTTGGATGAAGAGCCTCTGGAATGCGGCTTGTTTTTCAAAGAAGGGCTTCGTTGCTTGATCTTCGTTGAAGGGCCTCCGGTCTTTAGTTGGCTTGATCTTCAGTCCACTTTAACTTCGCTTGAATGGTTGAAATATTTGATCTTCAATCCACCTAGCTTGACTTGATCTTCAATCCTTTAGCTTCAGAGCTTCTCTTCAATTCTTTAAGTGTTCTTCGTCTTCAATTGTGTGTTTTGGAATGAAAATGAAGGCCCTATTTATACTAAAAGGCCTAACCAACATCCCTCAACAAACTTCCCTTTTTAATTAATTAATTAGTTATTTATTTATTTAAGAAAATGAACCTTGCCCAAAATAAAGTCCAGGTTTATTATTGTATAATCTAATTCAAATTCAAATTAAATTATAATCATCTAATTCAAATATAATAAAATTATATTATATTATAATTTAAATTCAAATATGAAGTGGGCTTGGACCAATTAATTAATTAATTCAATAGCCCAAAATCAAATTTAATTGGACTTATTAAATTAATTCAATTATTATGGTCCAATTAATTAAATTGGTCCAATAATCAATTTCAACACCGGCCCAATAATAATTTTGTCCGTCCATTTGTTAGGTTCAAATTTTATATGTCTACCAACACAACCAGTTGATTGCGATGCATTTAGCCCAACTCTTAACTACTTAACTAAGTTAGTTTTCTATCAAGTGGTGTGTTATATAGGGCCGAGTTTTAGATTTTTGTCGTTCCATTCTTATAAATAAATTAGGTCTTATTAAAATTATAAGCACAATCTTTAAAACTAATACCGTAAAATATATGACTCTTCTTTTCAGAATGTTTTGCTCTGCTCAATTAATTAGGTCCTAATTATTAGGGGAGAGAAGTGATTTGGAAAAACTCATGAGTTTTAGGATTAATTATAGATTTTCTTTTCATAAGTGGCTAGGTCAAAAATAAATATGATACCCTTTAAAAATTGAGACTCTGTGTTGTTGCTCATCTTGCACGGTCCAAAATCCGGCCATATTAAGCTTAGCTTATAACTACTCCACTAGTTGAGCAAGCAAGTCTGTCGCACCTATCAGTTGGTCGAGAGTCTAAAAGACTTCTCTAGGCCTCGTCTCCTTAATTGTACTGTCCACATTGCATAGTGAATCTCGGTCCAAAATAATATTAATATTATATTATTATGTGTTTGTAATTAACAGATTATGTGTGTAAATAAATTGATGCACATAATATATTAACTACATACACATTATATGTTAACAATATATATATATATATATATATATATATATATATGCAGTTATCATATTATGTACTTTTAATTTATTCACATACACATAATTTTTAACTAAAGATATATAATATATTAATTGCAAACACATAATTTTTTTATTAAGGTCGACAATTCAAAGTGAACCATGGTCGATGGTATAACAATTGGAAATCTCCATTATGGGCTTTTCAGTAAGTGATTGAGCCCAATTCTTTAATCTCTGTACCCATTAAAGAAAGCCCAGTAAAATGCGGTGTCCGGTGTCCGGTGTCCGGTGGGCATTTTCATTTTTGAGTGTATATTAAAGTAGGCGACAAGGATGAATACATACGAGTATACTTCTCACATATGATTATGGAGAATCAAGGAAAAGGAAAGGAAAACGACGGTGAAATCGAAATGGAGGAAATCCCTGAGGATCTCCAGTGTTGTGTTTGCCTGTAAGTTCTCTTGTTTCTAATTTTTAACCTTCTAATGTGTATATGCATATGCTATGTTTATATCTGAATATGTGTTTGCATCTTTGTTTCGATTTTGCAGGGAGCTTCTGTACAAACCAATTGTACTAGGTAGTAGGCAGAGTTTATAATTAGTAGCAAAAAGTTGTTAAATCCAAACTTGTTAGTAGTGTTTTTAGGTCAAGTGTTCATTTTAGCTTGATGTTTGGGTTCTGCAGGGTGTGGGCACATAGCATGTTTCTGGTGTGTACATTACTCAATGAATTCATGGAAAGGGTCTCACTGCCCAATTTGCCGCCACCAGTATCACCATTTCCCCAGTATCTGCAGATTGATGCATTTCTTGCTCTTGGAGCTGTTTCCTATAGCCTATAAAAGAAGGGAAATGCAAATGGCAGGTGAAAACTGCAGCTCAAATATGTGAATTTCCCCTTTTGCTCTATATTCCTGAGATTTAATTTGCTTGAATGAAGAGTTGATCATACATTTTTAAGGGTTTTATTGCCCTTGGTTATCTGTTTGAGCTTTGTAGTCTAAGGAATTAATCTTCCAGGTGATTTCTTTTCCGTGGAATTTCAATTAATATAAGTAATTTCTCATCATGGGTGTCGTGGCGTTTGAGATTTGCATACATTTGAAGATGAGTTTTATACCCAATGTGACCATGGGGAAATTTAGAATCAAATGTGAAGCATCGAATGTTGGATTCCCTGTCTCTTTGACCGGAACTTTAGTAATATTAGTTACTTCTCTGTTCTGTTTGCCAACTTCAAGTTTCTGCTTTTATTCTCTTGTACAAGTAGCAAATGTATTGGTTATTAAGTCTTGAACTCAGACACTCACTATCTTTAATTAGTACTTACTAAAGTAACCATCGGTTTACATATTTAATGGATTCAGATAGCAATTAAGGAGCTGAAATGTTGTATTCTTCTTTCACGTACATGAAAATGTTCAAATTCATGGGTATATTTGTAGAATAATTATTTGGTGATGCTTTCATGTTTTGATGTCTCCTATCTTTGTTGTGTAGAAGAAGAGAAGGAATTAGGAATTACATCACCACAGTTTGAAGATTTTGCCTCTGAGTATTGCTCTAAAGAGCTTTCTGCTAAGGACGGCTCTTCATCACATTCTCCCATGGCTTCGCAAAGATCTGATTCTGCACTTCTAGGAGAATCCTCTTCCCTGGTTCATGCTTCATCTCATATCAGTACTACCGTGTCAAGTTGTAAACCAACTGCTGATGCAACTAAAAACTCCAATGATGGGGATGAAGTTAAAGCGGAAATTGCTAAACGGGAGTTCGTGACTAACTTCAATTGTAGGATTTGTGAGCAGTTGTTATGCTGCCCTGTAGTTCTTAATTGTGGCCATGGTAAACCAATGCCTTGACTGTATCACATGTTAGGTATTAAGATTTTGGTGATCTTTTTCTTACTGCAATTGTTTCCTTTCTGCAGTATACTGTGAGGGGTGTATTGTTAACCAATGTGATAAGTTGTGTAGATGCCCAGCTTGTCAAATGGAGCACCCGAATGGGTACCCAAATGTATTTTTGGTTCTAGACCATTTCCTGGAAAGGCAATTTCCCGAGTATGCATCTAGGAAAAATACTTATCTCAACAAATCCGATTTGCAATGCAAAAGCAGCTCAACAGGTATATTCTACATCCCATTTCTTTAGCGATACTGTTCATATCAGTTAACATATGGCTCTATTTTGGTCTGGCAGTGATATAGATTCTCTAGCATCAAGCATCTGTATCTATTTGGCAAGCCTAAAAACTATTGATTGGGAATAATCCATAATCCGTTTCGATTTACTTACAAATTATGGCTTGAATGTGCTAAAAAGTGTTGTATGGTCTAAAATCCATAATCTTTGCCAAAGGCGTAGAGAAGTGGATTGTTTAGTTTATAGTTATATAAGCTTTACTGAGCATCATTTACGTATATTTCCAGAATTAGTCCTTGTACTATCAATCATATGTTTAGATCACTGATTCAACTTTATATTCTGCACTGTGAACTGTAGATATGTGTCTGATATTCATCCTCTGAGACTCCACTTTTGACCTACAATAATAACAACCTGAACAACATTGATATTATTTTTGTTTCAGAACATCTATTTTGTGCTAATAACGTGAAAGGTACGATGTATTGTTATGGGTATCAATACAGTTGGCACTTAAATGAACTTTGATATTTTTATAACATGTAGATATGACAGGAATTAATTGGTCTGTCATATTTTGATGCATAAGAGCTGGAAAAGAACTTTGAAACTGCTGCATAGACTTAGAGGTCTAGAGCAGTCACTTCTTTAACATCTTGTTCAGTCACTTGAATATGGCTATGGACCATTTTTGGTATCAGTCTAGATGGGCAGTAGATTTGTATCAAAATCAATTGGGATATATAAATGGAATCAGAAAGACTAAGGGAAAGGGGATTTGATGATAACTATGGCAATTACAATCTTTATTGATTTTTGTTTCATAATACGTGAAATTCAGCTTGGTGCTTAATTTTGGTGAAAACCGCTTTACTGTTACCAGGTCCTGTGAGAACAACAACAAAAGCTGGCCAATCTCCAGGAGTCGGTCATGGGGCATTTGTACCCAAGATTCACTATGGTGTTGGTTGTGATTATTGTGGGGTAATGCTATTCTTCCATGCAAATGCTTAGATATTAAATCCGATGTTGATGAGCTGATTGTCATCGACCATGTTATGTTTGCAGATGTATCCTATTCTCGGGGATCGCTACAGATGCAAAGACTGCAAAGAAAAGATCGGGTTTGATCTGTGTGGAGCTTGTTATAACAGTTCGTCAAAGTTACCAGGCAAATTTAATCAGCAGCATAGACCAGAGCATAAGTTTGAACTCATACAGGCACCACAAAGCTGGATACAGATGTATGATCCTCAACGATTTGTGCAGTTCGTGTACGAGGATTTCTCAGAGCATGGTTCTGCCCCAGATGATCCCGAGGATAGTGCGCCAAGCCCAATTTCTCTAAATGATAATGGGGAAGAAGAATGTTCCAGCCAATAGTGCAGTGGGCGGAATTTTCCCAAATGATTGTTGACAAAACCTCAACACTGCCCATTTTCGTCTCGCAAGCTTAGCTCAATGGTTCAAGGGTCACCCTGGAAGTGTTGCTTTAGCGGCAGGGTGGCGGGCTACTGGCCTACTGGGGGATCTAAAGCCCAAAAAATAATTGATGAGCGGTGATGAAGGCTCATTTTCTGACAGGCAACATAGAAGAACAGGAAGTAGTTGACTGGGCGAACTGCAGTTTAGAAATACTACAGATTCGAAACAAAATAAAATTATTTGTAAATTAATTGGTTTTCTTTATATTAAAAGAATAAAAACTACCAACCAAAATCTTGAGTATTGATAGGGATTATTTCCAATCATCAGATGGTCGGTCATAGGTCCTCGACCCTTAAGGGTTACGACCCGACCTGACTCGACTGTCTCCCGACCTTGGCTTTCACCCGATTTCCTTGGCGGGCAAGTTCGTAGGTCGCCTGGAGTTTAGCTTGTGAATTGACTTCTTCAGGTCGGGCTGATCTAATGAACTATTTGCGGCATTGGTCCTGTTTCATCAAGGATATTGTGACACGTGCTTAGAGCCCAGGCCAAGCATCTAATGAATTATTTGTGACATTGGTCTTGTTTCATCAAGAATATCGCGACACGTGCTTAGAACTCTTTTGGCCGCGGCCTGGACTTGTGCATGGGTACCACGTGCCCTCCATACCGAGGGTTCGGAACTTGTCTCATCTCTTCCCTATAAATACGGCTGAGAGAGACTTTTTCACCTACTTCACTACCAATACTATGAGTTCCGAGCTCGAGAACTTAAACCAACAAGCATATTAGGATAGAGATCCAACCTGACATCGTTCCTAGTAGCGTATATGTTGTCATACGAATCATATATACTACATCATGTATCAATAGTGTTAAGATCAAGGGACCCAAGTACTTGACTTGGTATTACTTATTAAAATCAAATGCTTATCACTATATTTATTTCTTTATATATTTGCTATATTTTAATTTATTTTTTGAAAGTTTACATGTATCAAATTACATATATAATAATAATTTTATATAAGATCGTAGATCTTTATTTTTATCAAATAATTTTATTTTCATTTTTATTCATTGGACACTTTATAATTGTGCCGGAATGAAGTATTCTTTTTTATTTTTAATTTTGTTGGGTTCATGTTTGGAGTAGTAATTATAAACTTTGTAACGTGCGAGAGAATTTTAGGATGGTCCACAGCCATCTATAATGTTTAATCTCCATTTTTTTTTTTTAAGACATGTTTAATCTCCATTTTTGTACTAAAAATTTCCATTGTTTATAATCTCCATTCTCCAGGGCATCGTGTTATTCTTTTCTGGGTAATTCGCGTACGCAGATATTAATATTACAGATATATACATACATACATTCTGCATCTTTTGTACGCCATGGAGAATCAAGGCAACGAAAATCACGTTGAAATCGAAACCGATGAAATTCCTGATGAATTCCAGTGTTGCGTTTGCCTGTACGTTTTATTTTTTCCCGATTAATTCACCCTTTTAACATGCATATACATGCAATCGATGTGTATGTATCGTTAATTTCGTGCGATTGTTTTGATTTTTTTTCAGGGAGCTTCTGTATAAACCTGTTGTGATAGGTAAGGGTTCTTCAGTGTTTGCAAAATAGGAGATGAACTCATATTCCGTGTATAATTTATTGAATGTTAGGGTTTTGCAGGGTGCGGGCACATAGCATGTTTCTGGTGTGTATTCAAAGCCATGAATTCCTTGCAGGAGTCGAGCTGCCCGATTTGTCGGCACCCGTATCATCATCTCCCCGCAGTCTGCAGATTGATGCATTTTTTGCTTTTGGAGCTGTATCCTTTGGTCTACAAAACAAGGGAAATGCAGCTTGCAGGTGAGCTCATACTTTGCTTTGTGGTCTGTATTCTTCACATAACTGGCAATTGGAATTTGGAAGATTACTTAATCAGAAATTTAATTAGTTTAGGTATTAAAATCAGAACTTTATATGTGATTATGTGGTTTATTACTCCTCTGAGTACTGTGTGATTAGTAATTTGACTATCATAATTAGTATTTTCTCAAGTAAGGCCTGGTTTATGTGTATAATGGACTTTGAAAGGAACCAATGTATTGAACTTGATATTGTATTCTCTTTCCACAAATTTTATATATTCATTTTATGGATATATATGTGTAGAAGTTGCTGATGCTGTCATGCTCTAATGCCTTCTTCCTTTGTTGCGTAGAAGAAGAGAAGGTGTTAGGATTTATATCTCCAGAGTTTGACGATTATGCATCTGAAACTTGTTGCAAGGAGCTTGGTGTTAGAGACCCCACTTCACCACCACATTCTATCATTGGTTTGCAAAGATCTGATTTTGCAACAGAAGGAGAAACTTCCTTAGTTAATGATTTATCTAAAAACTCCAAATGTGGGAATGAAATTATGGAGCAAAATCCTAAACAGGAGCTTATGACTGACTTAAAGTGCGGGATATGCAAGCAGTTGTTATGCTTGCCTGTAGTTCTTAATTGTGGTCATGGTAAGCCCAATGCCTTTATGCCATCACATCTTAAAACAATGATGTTTTGGTCATCATTGCTTACTTCTATAATGCAATTGTCTTCTTTCTGCAGTATATTGTGGGGAGTGTGTCTTCAGTCAATGTGATAAGTTGTGTAGATGTCCAGTTTGTCAAATGGAGCACCCAAATGGGTACCCAAATACGTGTTTGGTTCTCGAGCATTTTCTAGAAGAGCAATTTCCAGAGGAGTATATGGCAAGAAAAAGGACTTCTCTAAACAAATCTGATTCCGAGACTGCAAGCACCTCAACATGTACTATATCCTTCACTATATTTCTTCGTCAATACTACAATACTGTTTGTATCAGTTGACTTTTGATTCTCTTTTTGTTCTTGCTGTGATTTGGATATTCTTTAGCATTATGTTTATATATAGAGCCCAGACCATCTTGTGTTAAACCTGTATCTGAATTCAGGAAACTGTGAAATTCAGCTTGTGTTCTTATATTTCCAAAACTTTTAAATTGAGAACAGGTCAAACAAAATTGAAGAAAGCTTCCCACTCTTCCTCAGCCCCTATACATGATTACTGGGCATGGTTATCTGGCAAGGGGCCTATGGTTCATTATGGAATTGGTTGTGATTATTGTGGGGTAAGGTTCCTTCCATTCCATCCTGCTTTAAATTTACAGTTTGCTATGCCAAATTGGTGATTATCACTAACTTTTGCTCATACACAGATGTATCCGATTGTTGGAGATCGCTACAAATGCAAAGACTGCAAGGAAGCGATAGGTTTTGATCTGTGCGAAGCATGCTACAGTAGTTCATCTAATCTCCCTGGCAGATTTAATCAGCAACACACACCAGACCATAGATTTGAACTCTTACAACCAGTTCAAATCAGGAATTTGATATTGCTTCGTGATCCTCAACAATCAGCAGATGGCCCTGTTTTCGCGTATGTGGGGGATTCCATAGAACTTGATTCTGTTCCATTTGATCCAATGGAGAACACTGCTGGCTCAATGGACAATGGAGAAGACACCATCCCTTATCTAGATGCCCCAGGGAACAATGCTGCAGGTGCACCTTCCCAAAATGACAACAGAGAAGACCCAAACTCTACTTCAGATCACACAATGGATAGTGCATAAGGCCATAAAGGAGTTAATAGCTCTGTTTCGCTAACAGCCATTTGATGCCGAGTTTAATTGCCTTTGTTGTGGACACCAATGTACAAGCACTTTGGAGAACTTATAGGTCTCCCGCAATCTACCTTCTCAACCAAGGCTCCAGAGTAAGGGTGGTGGGGCCTTCAGCATTGGGGTGCAATCGTTTTTCATATGCTACCAAATTACTTATGGTATTGATCATGGTTGAAAAAATCGCTAGGTGCTCCTCGGGCACTCGAGGGGTGCCTAGGCGGCGATTAATCGTAGGCGCTCATGTATTTTTTTAATTTTTTTTTTAAAAAATTGTTTAAAATTTTTAATTTTTTTACGACTTGATAATTATGAACTATTTAATACTTTAATAGTTAATACTAAAATATTAAATATTAACCTAAAAAAATCTAGAGTTTGAACAATTTAAGGTTATTATGCTCAAAATGATGTCGTTTTAAGTAAAATAATCCATGTAAAAAAAATGGAAACAATAGCTAATCAGCTGACTAGGCGACCTAATCGATGCCTAGGAGGTCTGATCTAGTCAGGTGCTGATTAATCAATGTTTAAGCGGAATTTTTACAACACTGGTTTTGATAACATTGCAATTTTTTTTTAAAAAAAATTTATAGTAATTTAATGATGTGAGATGCATATTAGTTCCGTTATCCTCATATCAGATTAGTAGATGCCCTCTCCCATTGCAATTCGGATGAGGAATGAAAGCCACACAAATACATTGTATGATAGAAAACAACAAAAATTGAGGCAGGTTTTATTTGGAGTTGACCTTTTGTATAACGTTGCTATCAACAAGGAACAGGTCAACACATACTGTACTCAATGAGGACAATATATACTTGGATATCACAGTGGCATGCCATGTTTACAACCAATGACAATATTTATAGCTTATCGACCACGCTTTGTCCTCTTTTTTTGTCCATACTTTAAGCGTGCTTGCTCATAATTCATGTCATAGTTTAAGGGTTATCCTACACTACATATATGTGAGACTAATCAACTAAAAATGTGTACCCAGGTGTGAACATGCATCCTATAAGATTATTCAGTGCATTCGTACGAATGTAAAAGTGTAATTAGTAATGGTATACTTTGTAGTTTTGCGTTATGCGTTTTTAGAGTTTCATGTTTCTCCAGGTTTTTGAATTGCACTTTACATATCATTAGAATGTAGTTTGCGTGTGCACATTTGTATTTGCACATGATTCGGCCCTTATGTGTGTGTGGTAATTATAAATAGTAGTTATATTGAAGATAAATATAAAATAAATGTGATTGTGTGTCTAAAAAAAGTGTAGTTGCTTTTTTTTTTTTTTTTTTTTTTTTTTGTATATAAAGAAAAAAGACAAAATTATAGAAATCTAGATGGAACTACCCTATCACATATATTCACATCTATGAATAGCAAGGGTTGCACTCCATCGAACCCCTATCAATATTATTAGCGGACTAGTGGTTTTAATTATTTTCTTACGTCTCATAGAAACTAAATTTTTATTATGATAGTATAACGATGTAGAGACCAAAACCTAGGTATTGGGAAAATTACCCTTTTAACCTTTCCTTGTTAAAATGGACTTAGTACAAAGATTATATTTGTGGAGTGGTTATTACATTGAAATTTATTGTAATAGTTAAAATGTCAAACCCTTCGTCATCCACCTTGAATTATATGTCCTTCATTAGTCGTTCTTGTTCTTCCTTACCCACAACCTATTCCAAGAGTCCATCCACACTACCAACTTCTTCCCACTTCTCTAACAAAATGCCACTGCATGTCTAATATGGAAACCATACCACTCTACACTCCCTTGTCTGAAGTGGCAATGTGTTGGGCTCAACTATCGAAAGAACCCACTCGAGTCATTAAATTAGTTTCAAGTTTAAAACTAGTTTAAAATGGTCTAGACCTGACCAGCAAGCTCGATAACAATTCTTATAATAATACTTATTCAACTCTTAACTATATTTTTAAATAACCATTAACGAAAAAGACTCACAACTCTAGCCCAACCTCTATTCATCTATCCTATATTCCCATAATGGTGTATATCTTTTACTTCACATATTGTTGGATATGGGGTTCAACTTGATATTACAAACCAAACCTAATCAATAACTTTTCATGGACTATAATCCACAACATAACAATTCAGATAAACTCGAAACCAATAAGTACAAAATTCTAAGAAAATCATACACAATCCAACATATATACATACAAAAATCGTGTATGTATAGTAATAACAAAACCATAGGTCCCATCCATGTGGCAAGTATGGTCATCAGTTGCATGCATGCAGGCATGAGATGTAGCCAAAAGAGAGTGTCGGAACACCAAAAACAAATCATAAAAACCATGCAAATTCCACTCTTATGTAAATACAATAACTTAAATTAATAATGGAGATAGGAGAGACCCTACAACATAGTATCAACTGCTGTCAACTAATAATTAATGTCAGCCTAATACTAACAAACAACGTTTGCTTCTGACAGGTCAACCCTAGCTCTGACAAAATATGGTCCGGTCCGGTCCAGCAGTGCTTTGACCTTTTCATTCCTATCTTTTTCCACCCTCACATATTTACAAAAACTTCATTTCCCCTTCCAATTATTAATGCAAATAGTCAACATTGTACAGCAGATCTTGTCCTCCTCCTTGCCCCGCCGGGAATTATCAATTTTTATGTTACGTTCATTGGATGCCGATTCTCTCTCCGTGTAATAGCTCACAAATCACAACGAGTTTAATCGAAAGGGTATTTGTAAGAATCAAATTTATAACCTTTATGTATGAGAAGATGCTGATTCTTTTGATGAAAATATAAGATGTCGTATTTAATATACATGACAACATTTTATCCATTTAACCTAAAACTAAACATTCAATAGTTAGTCCGGGACAGACTATGTTTACTTTCACTTTTTACTTCATATATATTTTTCTTTCTACTGATGTAACATACTCTGATCAATTAAGAAAAAAAAGTAAATCAATTTTTTTTATTGTATAAATTAAAGTTATAACATGTGACGACGAATAGTTTACTTTTTAAGAGTTCACGTATCATTTTTTTGGATGGATATATAATACATATCACCAACACACATAACACGAATATATAGTGTGACAAATTAAGTTGTGAACAAAATTAAAGATACAAAAGTGATATAGTGATTAATTACTTGTGTAATTCTGGCTAGCTAGAAGGGAATTACATATATCATATCATATGCTGTTTGAATTAATGAAACTGAAAATTTGCTGGACCGAATTAGCTAAATCTTCAGCTGTGTACCTCGTTTCACTTGAAATCTGCACAAAACACAAAACACAAAACAAATCATTAGAGAAACTCTAGGATGCCGAACTAAAAGAATGCACCGCAATTACTCCATTAATGCACCGCACCACTCCATCATGCGTTGCATTTGTAGAGAAATTACAGTGCATTCCTTCAGTCCGCACATTCATACTGAAAGAGCAGTAGCATATGATCTTGATTTTATATATATATATATATATATATATATATATATATATATATATATGAACGTTTAACTACAGAGTTCTTTGATTATCCATACTTACCTTGACATTGAAGGAATAGAGAACGGTTTGCTCAATTGTAGTAATATTGGTGTGAAGAATGCTAAGCTGCAAATCTTCAAGTGCAGCAATGACTTTGATCAGCTGGCTGGGCCTTCTCCTTGAAAGTATCTTTATCATCCCATCAAACCCTAAAAGCTTCACTTCCACATCCGCCAGGCACGACTTGCTCCCCGCCGTCTCCTCGCATATTCCGGCCGCCGCCGCCTCGAATTCGGGAAAAAACGGCGGCTGTTCCTGCTGCGGGATTGGTGGTAGTGATGATGTTGATGAGTCTCCGGCCGCCGCCATTGGCCGCACTGCAGGAGCGTCGCCGTACAGCCTCCTTCTCTTCTGGGACTCCAGGCATTGCAGGAGTTGCTCCAGTTCCCTCACGAACTCTATTGCTCCGCCTATTATTGACGCTTGATCTCCCTGCACATATCATTCATCAATTTATGAAATATTATATTTTCGGACAGTCTTGATAATCACAAGGTTATAAGTTTGATTTTCAGTAAAAGAGGCCTATTAATGTTCTTAGTTTGGACTGATCAGCTATAAACAACTTAAACTGATTTACTTCTTTCTTTACCGGGTAAGGTCACAAGGTTGGTTAACCAGGATAAACCAGTTAAATTGGTCAAACTGTTATGCACAACTTATGCAGTTTATCTATTTCTTTGCAAGATAGGGTTACAAGACAGGTTTATTCAGATGCACACTCTCAGATAGTGAATGCAGATTTTCTCGTGACTCCAATAAAATAGTAATATAAGAGTGAAAGAATATATATACCCTTTGGACATAGGAGCCGGGCATGAGAGTTCTCAAGACGCGAAGATGTTCATTCATTTGCTTCCGGCGGTTCCTCTCGACGGCGATGTGCGTCATTCTTTGGCTCTCAACCTCCTCGTTCGTCTTGATTCTCGGCCGCTTTCTCTTCCCTTTATTCCCTTCCGCGGCGGCCGCCGGCGGGTATTTCTCAATATTTTCATCAAGAAATCTCAACTGCACGGCGGCGGCGGCAGCGGCGCCGCCGTCCTCTTTACTCCCACCGCCTTCTTTGCCGGGCTCTTGATCATTAAACTGCTCATCTCCTCCCTGCACCTTCTCATTCAACACCGGAAACTTTAGGAAGTAAACCGGGTCCAGCCCGGTCTCCTCATCGGAACCCTTGGCCTCGTTAAGCCCCAGCTTCGGCCCGAAATCCGCAAACTGCATCACGTCGGCGAAGCTCAGCTTGTCGAGCGACGTCGACCCACCACCACAAAACCCAGGAACAAGCGGTGGCTGCGGCGGCGGCGCCGCCGTGGGATGACCGTTAACCATGTAATCAACCATCTGATTGGTATTCCCACAAGACGTTTGACCAACGTGCGGCGAATAGTCTAAACCTGGAAAACTTGGTGGCAATGAAGCCTGCAATATTTCATGTTCAAAGAAAAACAACATAGTTACCTTAAGGAAGAATTATATGTATGATTGGCTGTGTATATTAAGAGATAACCAGTTACAACAAAACCATAAGACTAGACCAATACAAAATTATTAACGGACTAAGTCTCAATAATATATATGTACTTATATATATACCGTGTAATTATCTTCCTTCTCCATTAAGCAGATTTATATATAACCCTAAAACCCTAACTGGGGTTCTTGAAAAGACAACCCTTGATGGGGTTGGGTCCACCCTCCTGAAACAGACAAGAACATTAACACCAATCAAAACAAAAATCTAAAGACCCAAAGCTGGAAGAAAGTCATACTAAGATCTAGCAAATCATACATATACATATATATATTCCTATAATTTAAAAAAAAATGATATATAATTATTGCAGATAAGTTTGTGTATATATATACATAGATTAGCTCTCTACCACTAACCTGCAGATGAGATTGAGTGATGATATGATGAGGGTTATCCTAGATTTGACAGAAACCTTGTTTGTTTTTCTAGTTTGTCTGTCTCTGTGTGTGGATATATTTATATATATATATATATATATATATATATATATATATATATATATATATAGAGAGAGAGAGAGAGAGAGAGAGGAGCCTGGGGGAAATGGATGATAAGAATGGGAGGTCACATGCATGCAAGGGTGGAAGGGAGAAAGGAGGTGAGGATGCATGGTAGGTGGGTGGGTGACTTTTCACCACTGCAACTAAATATTAATGGGGATCACAGGGTGAACCAACTTTACCACCTCTTTACATGACTTTCTAATAAATACTTAAGCGCTGATCCGATATGCATGATGCATGAGAATTGCAAAATTTTGAATTGAATTGAAGTTTGAATTTTTAGATTTCACTTTCATTGTTATTATTATTATCTTATGTTATATTATTTGATATATATATGCTGGAGGAGCCTAAATTCATGCATGTGACCCAACTAGCAGCCTACCATATTCACAAGGCAGTAAATTTTCTTCTTTTTAATTTTTTTTTTTTTAATTCTTATATTGGGTGAGGAGGAAACTTACTAGTTATTATCACTATTTGAGGGTCTGCATTGAATAAATCATACTATTGTGTAATAATTCTTAAATCACTCCGCTCCTATTTAATTAATCACTTGCAAACCGCACCAGAGAGATAAATCATCACATTAAAAAAATATTGTGTGACGAGTTTGAGTAGAATAGTGTTGGCAAGAATAGGTAATGTGACATCTATCTATACATAGATGTCTGACTCTATAACAACGCCTCCACTGAAGCTCGATCTCATAACCTCCCACATGAGAGGTCACTACATGCCATCTGAGTACAAGGTACTTGCAAGTATTATATATTTTAATTACACTCTAGTTCATTTGACAATATATGTTATTGTATGACTCTGGATTTTAGTTTCATTTTTCACATACACTAATTTCATTATAACAACACTAAAGTATCATTTTAATTATACTACAGTTTCATTTGACAATTACTTTATTGAATGAGCTATGTTTTTTAGTTTCGTTTTCACATACACTAATTTTATTATAACAATACTAAAGTATCATTTTAGCTCTGCTACAATTTCATTTGACAACCATAGTCCACATACACACATAGCACTATGAACCATGGTCTACCGTATAACAATTGCCCAACTCAGTTATCTTCATCCGGGTTGTTATTTAACTTGGGCCCAATTTATTATTCTTAGTTCTTATGGATCTCACGACCTTGACCTTAGCTCGTGGCTTCGTAGGTTGACTCATGGGTTAATAATTTTTATTTTTATTTTTGAATACTTTGGATGGAGAAACCAAACCTGAAACTAGATATCGTTTGCTTAGCTTAAATTTAAAAAGTCATATATGACACATGTGAAATGCATTTAGTTTTATTAATAACAGTTTAAAGTAATTTCTTGGTATATATTCTTTTTTCCTAATAATAACAATATTATTATTTCCAATAATAATATTATTATTATTATTATTGTTGTTATTGTTTAAATTAGCTTGCTGGCCACCTACAAAGCTTGTTAATCTTCATTATATATGCAGCTGGTTAGGACCCAAAAAAAAAAAAGGGTTGGTTCATCATGTCCATGAAATTTTTAGACTATATTGATGCCTTTAATGACAAATTACAGTACTGCGTAGACCATAACAAAAACACATTTTTAATATATTAAAAATATATTATTTATGTATTGAATGTACATTATACAAAATAATATACTTTCACTATTCAAATAATATACTTTTTTTTGAATAAAATATACATTTTTAATATACTGAAAATACATTATTTATAAATATACATTATTTGATAGTATGGTTCACACAATAATAAATGTCGTAAGTCAAATTTTAACTCGGCTCATAAAATCTTTGTCAACTAGATAAGATTGTTGAGAATCAAACAAAATAATGTTTAAAAATCTAAAGTAATGAGAATTCCTACGCTGTCTTGCGGTTATGTAGTGTGTAGTACTCTAAAACATAGTGATTAGATATTTGTGTATTGTCTTGGTCATACTTTTTTTTTTGAAAGTCAACCAATGGGTTGTATTTATAGATAAACTGAAATAGAGTCGGGTGGGACATTGTCCCAATACATTGCTGTAGAAAGCGTAAAGGCTGAAGTAGCTAAAGTATGAGCTATTAAGTTTTGTAATTTAGGAATAAAAATGACAGAGCAAGAATTAAACGCAGACATATAAGTTCTGCAACTATTAATAGCATAGCCAATGTATGAGTGAGATGGGTTGTCCGGTGCAGACAGGTAAGACTGTAACGTTTGACAATCCGTAAAAAGTTGTATAGATTGTTCACCTCGTGCCCTTAGCCAGGATAAAGCCTCTTTACACGCGAATGCTTCGGCCATAAGTGGGGAAAAGCAACTCAGAATAGGCGCGCTGAAAGCCGAAATAAATTGATCGGTGGCATCGAGTAAGACTGCCCCAACCGTAGCCGTGTTCGTTCCCTGATGATATCCGGCATCCACATAGCATTTCCGTGGCATTACTACCGTGTTTGGGAGCTCGGAGTGGTGCGGCAGTGAGTTCGGCGGTTGTTCGGCCAGGTGGGGCGGTGGTGCATGGCGACGGGTTGCGGCAGCAGGAGACCGGTTCGGCAGCGTCGTGGTAGCAGCAGTACTAGGACCCGGCAGTGGCGCTACAGCCGCATGGTGGTGGATCGGCACTTGGGCGGTGGTCGGGGCGTGTAGCTTTTGCCATGCATGCATTGTGGCAGTGGCCGCCGCAATGACATTTTTTGGTCGTGGTAGGCAGGCATCCCATACAGCTCCATTGCGTGCTCTCCAAAGATGATATAAGATTGCAGCTGCGTAAATAATTCCATTAGTGTCTAGAACATTTATGATTGCACTAAACCATTCATGGAAAATATTTGTCATAATATTTGGGAGTGGAAGGTTGGATTGAGCCCAAATGGAGCTTGCATAGTCACACAATACCAATGAGTGCATAGTGTCTTCTCCCATGATCCCACACATGGCACACATCGGATCAACATCCACTCTCTTTATAAGCAAATTATGGGTAGTGAGAAGAATATCACTAATAGCTCTCCATAGGAAAATTTTTCCATTTGGGTGGGATTTTTAATTTCCATAGAGTGATCCACTTATCAAAAGCCCCATTATCACCAGTTTCATAATCCCCAATAATGCATCTATAAGTCTATAACCATTCTTGACAGTATTGTCTTGGTCATACAATTGACTTAGTAACCACAATTTTTTAAATCTGACTTCCTGTGAAAACTATTTATTAGCCTTCGGTCAGTTACAAAAGAAAAAAAAAATTTGCTGGTTAGAGTTACTAGGCAGATTTCGCTTAAAATGTTTTTACCTCTTTGGTGTTTTTTCAACTATATAAATTTTCAGTTTATTGTATTTTAATTAGTACATGTACTTAACCAGTTTGGTGGGTGAGAGTGGCCGTGCATTCGCATCCCTTAAAAAAGGTTGAGAGTTTGAACTCCTCTCATATGGAAAAATCAATTTGGCAAGCACTTTGCTTATTCATTGGACCGGTCCGGTGCGAATAGAGATTAGATTGAGTATGGTACGTACGGTCTTAAAGGTGTCTCTTACCCTTATGGCCTGCCCAGACCATTTCATGGACAAAAATTAATGCGTGTACTTTTAGCCAGGAAATTATAACAAACTATAAATTCTATAATACAGAGGAGAATCTATAAGTTTAGATTCCTAGTTGTAGTATGGCCAAAAACATTAAACAGCACTTCTAGTCTACTTCTACGCAACCACTATCCAAGTCCACATCAAGTCCACTACATTATGCCTTTTGATCATATAAAATAAGTAACACCTAGGACCCCCTAATGATAATTAAAAAAAATTCCTAAATCACTGTCTCCAAAATAGAAGCTATTAAAGACCCTTAAATTTGATGTTCAAATTCAAAAGAAAATTAAAAAATCATTGTAATCAAAGTTTTGCATTTAAATTTGAACTATTATAAAGATTCACCATGTTAAAGAGTTTTGAACTAAAATTTTCTGAAGTAAGAGTCAAACTATATATGTGAAATACAATTAAGCAAAATCTAGATACAGTCGTAGAAATACCGAATACTGTATACAAAAATTTGTACATATTAACATGTTTTTATAATTCTTTTCAAATATATGGAATGACCAATATAGTTGTCGACTTTAATATATATAAATTAATCAAATGAAGCCATGAGTGCCTACATATATTAACTTCCACAGAGGAGAAAGGAGAGTCAAGCTATGGGGGCTGGCGAGAAGAGATTAGTAAGCTGTAATGAAGTTTCTTTACACAACACACCCAAAGATTGCTGGGTAATCATCAATGCTAAGGTAATTAATTATCATCAATTATAGTTAATTAACGCATATATATTCTCTAGCTTCTTCATAATAATTAGAAGAATTAATGATTGATTAATTCAGGCTTACAACGTTACAAACTTCCTTAATGAACATCCTGGTGGTGAGGATGTCTTGTTGGCAGCGGCAGGTACAGATCGAAGTAGATTACTGGGAAATTAATTAACCATCAATCAATTGTGATTAGTGTGTGCTAATCTCTTTTTCCGACATTAATCCGATGATATATTCATAGGTAAGGATGCCAGCGAAGAATTTGAGGATGCCGGGCATGGCAGTGCTGCAAGATTAATGCTCGATGAGTTCTACGTCGGAGAGGTGGATACCGCTACCATCGCCGCCGTTGCCGCCGCTTACATCCCGCCGGAGCAGCCTAAAGATGGTGATCCCGGCGAGTCATCGCCGCGGATAATTAATGTCGACCTCCTCCGGTTTCTACTTCCCCTAACGGTCTTAGGTTTGGGCGTTGCACTTCTGGCACTAACCAAATCGGTGGCAATCTAGGCTGGTTTATTGTCGATTAAGGTCACAAAACGACGTTATTTAATGCACACTTCTGATAGTGGTTACGCGTTTCTCTTTGTTATCTGAACAAAATATGAAATTCTACTTAAAATATGATTAAGGTTCTTATGTAATTTACATGTATCAAAGTTATTGTCTTATTTAAGGATATGCCATGTTAAATAATAGGGATGGGTCAACTCGGTTCAGTTTCGATTTATTATTATCCAAAACTAAACGGTTGACTATTTGAATTATTCATGGACTTAATTTTTCTCTAAATATGATTATTGTTGCTTAATTAATTTTTACAAGTACATACAAGAATATCAAGAAAAATATAGTATTTCTCCACCGAAAATACCCATATTCATTTAAGACTAACATAACTAGCTCAATTACTTATGTTATTATCAAACATGTCCCTAACGGCTAACTCATTATCATATTCGAGTTCATGTTTAACAAAGAAACTAGAAATCGAACTTGAATGGGTCGTGATTTTAATACCCAAACCTAATTATTATATACTTAACTTTATTGCTGCCAAATTAAAGGGATTAACTAGGTAGAGTTATAGCAATATTACTCATCCGTTTGTCGTGGTCAACCCTTGGAATAAATAAAATGATCACCCATAAAATAAATAATCAGTCAACTCATTCATTAATAAAAGTGAAATAGAAGTATGTGTATTATAACTCATATTTTATTTAACCAATTGACAAGGGATTGAAAAATACAGTTACAAAATATGTAATTGAATTGTGGTTGTTATGTAGTGTTTGGTTGGATGGAAAATGAACTATTTGGAATTGGAATTCCTACAATTTGAGCAAAAAAGTATTTTACGGAGTGTGTTGTTTGGTTTCATGAGAGAATGTTTTTTTTTTTTTTAATGAAAATTGAATTCCTTAAATTTGTGAAAAATTAAGTTTCTTTTATCTCTTATTAGGAACAATTGTTCAACATGGTGCGACAAAAATACTTTTGTTAGTTTTTTAACCACCGGGTAGTTAGTCAACAGGTCAGGTCAACATTACCGATCGAATAGGTAAATTAAAGTATAAATAATTTGAGAGAAAAATAAAAGAAATGATAATTTTATGTGAAAATCGAAAGGTGAAAATCACAGGCGTTTTTGGGCGGCGTCAAACTGAAATCCATTATATTTTGGTAGTTTTGTACATGTATAATAGGGTGCTCTCTAGAGAGATGTGGGATGCATGTCTAGAGATAGAGGATTTCGATGATGCTTCTTTGTGATTGACCAAGGCTTTTTATAGTGGAGAAGTAGGTGGAGAATATGATAATTGGGATCCCTATGATAATTCAGTATTTATGATAGAGTGTGCTAATTAATATATAGGATTGGACAGAGATTTTAGGTTGTGTAGTTGCCATATAATTCCTTCATTTACTGTCGCGGTTGACTGGTCAAGTCCCGAATCCGAGTGCTGGTCTGAATACCATTCAACATCAGACTGACTGTTTCGTTGACTACCCGTAGTCCATGTTCGATCAACCGTTATATATCTTTGTTAATTATTATTGTCTAAAAATATGTTAGTGTTTATATACATTATTCTTTAAATTAATATTCTCACCAATAAAACAACAAAATTAATATTACGAGTAACTTTTATATAGAATTTAAATTATATTTCTCAAAAATTCTTTAATTTTATGCAAATCAAGCGGGCTGTTGGCGCAATGGCGTTACAGACCCTAGTATTACACTATTATTACTTTACGAAAATCTAGAACTCTAGAAGGTAAAACATGGTTAATAAATAAGTTGACTTTGGTACTATTGAGGTTAACTAGTATTTGTCCCGTGCGACGCACGAAAAATATGTTATAAAAATATACCCTATATGAGGTTTATTCATATATAAAATTTTTGTTATTTAATAATTATTATGTGTGAATTCCTATGATAAAATTATGAACATAAATATATTTACAATTAAAATAATATTTAAGGTGGGTGATTACTACAAATCTTAAACTATATTAAAAATTTAGTACATAGTATTTAATATTACAAATTTTTAAGAATTTAGTAAACTACAATAGTAATTGAATTACATTAAAAAAAAAACAATAGTAATTGAATTACAATTTTAGAGTCACCACGGATCAAAATTTTTAGACCTTTGAGATTTCTAACTCTAGATGTAGCAACATACAATTGACCTTTAAAGACCAAAATCACAATCTTAGTTCGAACATTGATTTTTTTTTTTCCAAATACTATCGAATTAAGTGTGTAATCAATAAAAGATGAGAACTAATAATTCGAGAATATAATCTTAATGTTACTAAGCCTACTTCACGTCAATTAAGTTGGAGAGTGTTGTTGGATAGTACCCGATAAATCCACGAATAACGCATCTTTGTCTCCGTAGTCCTCAATATGCACATCAACAATCTTAAATATTAGGCCGCCTAGCTATGCCATATATTAATTTCAAACTTATGAACTTTGGGGTTGCATGCAATAAAAAGTATATTTTAAATATACTAAGGGTACATTATATATGTATGTAAGGTACTTTCAATATAAAAATAATGTATTTTTAATATATTAAAAATGTATTTGATATTCATGATCCATACAATTATGTGGACCATCGTTCACACAATAATTTGCCAGTAGAAATTGAAATATAAATAAATAAATATATATATATATATATATATATATATATATATATATATATATATTAGAAACTGTAAGTGGAAATTATTATTATCATTATTATTATTGCAATTATTATTATTATTGTTATTATAATGAACAATATTATTATGGTCTTGTGAAAATTAAATGTTGATTATCACCATTTAATTTTCACAAGACCATATGACTTTATTATATATAGGATTAATTAATAAAAGCAAATGATGACTCTTATTTCACAAAAGAAATGATGACCCTATAGAATACCGTTACGTTGGATTTACCCGGCACCCATAGAATCATATAAGTCAAAAGAGAGTTAGGCCTATAACAGGTAAAAAATAATCGGTCAAATGAATGACTTAGATTAATCAAATTTTAATTTAAGATTTTCTAATTTATCTTTAATTATATAATTATCTGTTAACTTTTCTGGTAATTTCTGTTAGTTCATCGTTAACTTACTCATTGATTTCAATAAGAAATGTTTTAGGTTTGAATCTCATCCCAATCAAAGTTGGCATAATTAATACTCTATTTTACTCTTATTAAATGAAATAATAATTTAGTAGCTACAACAAAAAATAATAAATATGCATTTCTTTAATTTAGAATTATGTGTCTGCAATGCCTTTATTCAAAAAAAAAATATATTCATTATCAATAAATTAAAAATCGAAAAATATAACTGAATTTATAGAAATTAATGTTTCTATTAAGGTAATCCGCTCTTTTGATTCTTAACCTTTTTTAGAGTACGCATTTATATTTTTACCTTATTTGATCGATATGATGTTTCAGATATAAAACTCGAAAGAGTGATGAAAATTTTAGCATATGTTTCCTAAAATGTCTGTCCTCTCTAATAAGTTGAGTTTGTTGAGCCTAATTGCACATTTGTGCACGGCTTTTGCATCATCAGTGCAAAGTGTTAGCGTACGAGATGAACTCTCTAGGCAGCATTATCCAACCATCACCGTTGATCAATCTGGGCATGGAAATTACCAGACTATCCAAGCAGCCATTGATTCTGTTCCTCTCAACAATCAGAATTGGATCATCATCAAAGTCAAAGATGGCACATATAGGTAACATTCATTATGTATATATATATATTTATGTTTTCATGAAATTAAGAAGGGTATTTTTGTCCTTTTCAAATTAAGATCTCAATTTGAATATAAATAAAGAAATTTAATCAATAAGGTTGATCTCAATTCGCAGTTGTCCTCCTCAAATTAAGGTAGGATGAGGAGGAGAATTGTGAATTGGGATCGATCGTATGACTTAAATCTATTTATTCATGCTCAAATTGAGTTCTTAAGTTAAAAAGGACGAAAATACACTTAAAATTTTAGATTTCAACATGTCTTAAACGGAAGGGTGAGCGGCGCGGCGTGATGAATTTTGACATTAAAACAATAACATGTGGATCAAAACTGTTATTTTGTTAATACTCATGGGACCAAAATTAATATTTGCTCGAGCCAATAACGCCTCCACTGAGGCTTAAACTTACAACCTCCCACATGGAAGTCTAACCCAAGTGTCATTTGAGCACAAGATGCTTGGCTTATACCTATTGTTAATTTCACGAGAAAGTCTTTAAATTTCAAATGTCATATCTTATATTTGTCAAGTTAATTTGGACCACCTTAGTATTATAACTCATATAAGGATCACAATTGTCCTTGTCTAGGTGTACTAAAACTAATTGTTATTTATTTGTTTATAATTATAATACAGTGAACAGGTGAGAATTCCAAGAGAGAAGCCATATATTTATCTCAAGGGATCAAGAAAAACAAATGTGATTTGGGATGTTCATGGCTCAATTCAAAACGCCACTTTCACCGTAGAAGCTGACAACATAGTTGTGGAAGCCATCACCTTCACAGTATGATCCCCCCTCATTCTCCCCTTAATTTCCACAAATTAATATTACCAGATTTAATTTAGGCAAACTGAGTCAAGTTGGTTAAATAATTAGTTTGGTAACTCAAGTCAAATTCAACTTTTCGTGAGAGCTGTCTATCAGTTCTTCTTAGTTTGAGCCAACAACCATGAACAATCTAAACTAGTTTACTGAGTTGGCCAGTTATGAGTAATTTAAGTTTTTATTTTATTGTAATTATTTACCGGCTAAGAACACTAAAGATGAGTTTAACCTATAATGTATCTTTAGATAACAGTTAGAGACTTTCTTGTAAATTAAAAAAATTACCCGTTAAAATTTACGGGGTAATATTTTGTCGTATGAAATTCTAGTAAGAAAGCAAATTTAGTACAAATTTAATCATGGAAAAACTAAAAGTGATAAGATTTTTAAAAGGAAAACTTGTACTTTTTGTCCATAAGTTATAGGATAATTGTAGAATTCGTCCCTAAGTGTCGGTCTTGCTCACTATTCGCCTCTAAGATATCATTGGTGTTGCACTTTTCATCCCTTTACTAACAAAACATTAGGGACGAAAAGTGAGCATGAGAAGTTAACTTATGGACGAAAATTGAACACCAGAAGTTAGTTTAGGAGGAAAAGTGCAATGCCAATGATAGTTTAGGAGCGAAAAGTGAACAAGACCAACATTTATATACAAATTTTATAATTATCCTATAATTTAGAGACAAAAAATGCAGTTTCTCCTTTTTAGGATTTACATTCAATTTAGTCAATTTTAAAGTAGATAACAAAAAATAAAGACAAAATAATCATACGGCTAGAATTGAAATTTAATGAAACGAGCAGAATTCCTACAACTACCCCCCGGAAACCACCAAGAACCCAAGGCAAGTGGCGGTGGCGGGACTGTTCAACGGCGACATGATAGCCGTATATAACTGTAGATTCAACGGCTGGCAAGACACGTTGTGGGATACACTCGGACGCCATTACTTCAAAGATTGCACTATTGCTGGATCCGTTGATTTCATCTTTGGTGAAGCCCGCTCAATCTATGAGGTAAACCATATATTTTACAATTTAAACATTCGATCAATCTGCATATGATGGAATTGAATTAATTAACTCGGACTAGAATTAACCATGTCTTATTATTTGATTTTATTTTTTCGAATTAGGCGCCCGTTCAGCCCACGAACCCCGCCAGGGCACCAACCCAACCTCTTGGGCTCGGGTTGGATTATTATCTCGCAGGACCGGCCTTGTGGTTGGCTTTGGGACTCGTGCTAGAGCCTAGTTCCCAACTACGGGGGTCGGCCTAACCGGGTCGACTTGACCCGCCTCGTCGGGTATTATTTATTTTGAGAGGACCCTACCAACCCAACCTCTTGGGCTCGGGTCGGATTGCCCGGGGCCACCTCGTGGTTGATTTTGGGTCCACTAGGACACCTAACCCGAGTCAATTTTGCCTGTCTCCTCAGGTCGATTTGTTATGGACCCGTCTTCATTATATCTGTCCGTGTAAAAATTGTTTGCAGGATTGTATTATAGAGGTGAGACCTCTGGAGCATGGGTGGGCAGGTTACATCACAGCACAGGCAAGACAGAGTGCTGAAGAAATCACTGGATTTGTTTTCAAGAATTGCCATATTGTTGGAAATGGAATGGCCTTCTTGGGGAGGCCATGGCGGAGTTACGCCACTGTCATATTTTTCCGAACAACCATGGAAAATGTCATTGTTCCAGAAGGATGGAGTAATGTGTTTGCTGTCATCAACTCCGATAACGCACCCTCCCCCTCCCCCGCCGACGACCACAACGCTGAGTAATATCTATTCTTTCGTTTTTTTGAATGACAAGAGAAATACGTAGTCACTATGGTGGGCGGAGGCGAGTTAAGGGCCAAGTTCAGCACCAAGTGACTAGGAGATTGTTGGGCAGAGACTTGAAGGGTCAAGTCCATCACCTTATCTTCGAAAATGTGATGATATGCACTGGATAAACTCCGCCTTGTGGTAAAACTAGCTTAGGTTGTTTGATCAGCTCAAACCAAGAAAACCAATAGACCATTTTAGTTGAAGTCAAACTTATAACTTGATAGGGAATATTCCCCAAGTATACCTCTCTTTACCTTCCGTGCATCTACTCGGGAACAGGTTAGTTCACTGAGATAAACCAAACCCGACCTTGACCGGTTACAAGATCGATGTTCCCGACCTTAACCTTATAACCGAGTTAGCTAAAGATTGCAGCAGCACTATGCTTCTTAAGAACCGACCCCGGTTAGTTCAGATCGGAACGACCATCACGAGCATGGTTACTTAAGATTTTGGACTTGGATTTCATGCTTTAACCCAATCCCATCTCAATGGGTGATCATGAGTCTAGGCACACGTGGCTCCCAGGGCATTGTTCTCGAGTGTATAGATTGCATGTACAAACACGTGTCAGTCATACCGAGAGCCTAGCATGTGTCATCTTCCCTCCGCTATAAATACTGCATTTGCTAGTTGGAGGGGAACTTTTGACCTCTTTCACCTACTACATTTAAGCTCGGGACTCTCTGACCCTATACATTTAATTATAACTTGTTTGAAAATGAGTAAAACATGATTCTTATAACGTTGTTTTGTTTCTGACAGCCCTTCAACGTTGACCTTCGTAGAGTATGGGTGTAAGGGGCCAGGATCACACAAGAAGAAGCGAGTGCCATGGTTAGCCAAGTTGAGTTCTAAGAAGCTGAAGTGGTATACAAGCTTGTCGTACGTTAATGATAACGGCTGGATTGAACGCCAACCCTACACCTCCGCCGTGCTACCTTAATTTTGTTCTGCTCTATGTCTTGCTTTCTTGGAACCCACATAATTATGAATAATATTGTAGCTTGGCTTAGGCTACAATTTTTTGGATGAAGATGTTATCGAAACTAAACTAATGTCTAATGTGAAAAATTGAAATAATTTTAGTCAAATATCAAATAATATAGGACTAAAAGAATAAACAACGCTGGAAATTATAAAATTTTCGACCACCTGATCTTAAATCAAGTAAGATCACTTTCAAGTGGTCGAAAATTTCATAATTTTTAGTAGTGAAAGACCATTTATACACACGATCACTTTTAGGTGGTCAGAAATTTCATAATTTCCAACCGTGAAAGACCATTTATACACACGATCACTTTCAGGTGGTCAGAAATTCTATAATTTCTAGCAAGTGAAAGGCCCTTTATACACTTGTGTGAGATGTCTCACGGGTTGCATCTTTAATCAATGGATGATTTTTTTTTTTTTTTTATATATATATATCTCACACGAGTTTTTGTCATTTTTTCCAAATGGTTGAACCCCAAATGATGTAAATCATGGTAACTCAACTGAACATGAGCCATAGAGGCTAGACCTTTACTTACTGGCACAAGAAGCCTCTTCAATTTGAGGTTGCTCTCACACTGTCACTGGTGAGACTCAATCCATATCATTCTTTCCAACTTTCATCTATATGACTAGGTGAGCTGATCCTGGGGGCCACAAGTTTTTGTCATAAGACGACAAAAGAATGGTAGAAGACGACAAAGGTTCCGAAAGGTGTTTTCTTCAGAATCTAAACAGAAAAAATGGGCATGATTTTACTGTTGAAAACGTGAACGGCATTGTTGGTGTCATATCACATATGAACTACCAAAACAAGACAGTACAGTTGAATGCTAAGAGAAGAGAGAAACCCAGAAAAAACATGGCGGCCACTTCAGTCTACACTCCAACCATAGACGAAAAGAAATGGGTGAGCCAAGGAAACAGAGCATTAGACTCATCAGACGAACTCGCCATACAAATCGATTTCACCCCTTCCATCTTCCAAATCCCAAAACCCATAACCGAAACCAAGCCGGAAGCTTACGCGCCGCAGCACCTTGGCCTGGGAGCGTACCACCATCTCCGGCCGGAGCTCCACGTCGCCGACATGCAAAAGCTCGCAAAAGTCAAGAAATTCCTGTCGTCGTCCAGAAATTTCTCCGACGACTTCTTCCTCGGAAAAACCAAGGGTTTGGAGCCGGCGGTTCGAGCTAGCTACGACAAGTACTTGGATCTTGAAGGCTCCACTCTAGACTACATCATCGCCGTCGATTCCCTCTTCTTGCTCGATTTTCTCGGCTCCTACGACGACAAAACCGAGTCCGAGAATCTCGACCCCGGCCGCCGAGAATTCGCCAAGGATGTTTCAATGCTGGAGAACCAAGTTCCGGCGTTTGCGGTGGCGGAGATGGGGAAACAACTGGACTTGTTCTCGCCGGAAAAAGGTACGCCGGAAACCATGTTGTATTCCCAGCTGTTTTACTACTTCTGCAAAGCCCACTCGCCGCTCAAACTGGCGGAGCTGTGGAAAGACCGCCGTAGGGAGAGTAAACACCTTTTAGCTCACATGTATAATCTCATCGTAAACAACCATGGATTTAAAGAACAAGAAAGCATGCTAAGAACTAAAGCCAAAATCACAGAGATTGGAACAGAGGTTTTAACTGCATTAACTGAACTAGGATTTGGAGGACCCATAGTTAAATCCCTTCAGTTCACCTTCAAATCAGTGCAAGTTTGGGAGAACAGTAAGTTAGCTGCAGAGCTTAGTAAAGATCAAGAACCGAAAGCCAAAACACAAAAGATTCAGATTCCTTCAGTCTCAGATTTATCTGATAAATACAAGGTGGAGTTCAAGCTCCTGGATTTGGGAGGGATTAGGCATATCAAGTTCGAAGAAGAAGACGAAGACGAAGGGAAACCCACGATTTATCTCCCCGAAATCACTCTGAAACATGATTCAGAAGTGGTGTTAAGAAACTTGATAGCCTATGAAGCTGCAATTTCCACCCCAGATTCCAGTTTGGAGCTCTCTGAGTATATTGATTTGATGTGTGGGATAGTGCATACAGATAAAGACGTATCGTTGCTACGCGAGAAGGGTATTGTAAAGAGCGATCCGATTCGTCTGAACGATGAACGAGCTGCTGAAATCTTTAACGGGTTTAGCAGATCCGCGGGGGAGCTGAGGGAGTCAGAAAGCCGGAAAGTGGTGAAGCAAGTGAAGGAGATGGTGGAGAAATGGGAGAATAAGAAGCCATGGAAAAGGGTGTGGAGATTTCTGGAGAAGAATGTCAAGAATGTGGGAGAGTTTCTGAGGAAGCCTAGTGGAATTGCAATGAAGTTTTTGTTGTATATCTTCATGGCATTGCTGCTAGTGCTGCAGATAATGCAAGCTTATTGCCAGATATATGGATGTAAGAAGGGGGAATCTGGGACCAAGGCTTTCAGTTTAAGGATGTCTGGTTAGTTCTTAGTGGTGTCATCATGTGTTTATGTTAGTGGATTATTAGTTTCATGTTAGTGCACTTTCATTTGTCTGCTTAATGTTATTCTCTGAAACTAACTTAAGTAATGTTCTATTTCCACAATGTTTCAAGTCCCCACAACTAACATATATCACCTTGTGTGTGTTTCTCGTACAGCTCAGACACTGAAGGGAGTTCAATCTTTTGTATTTACAACTTAGCTTGTTTTATAGAATATAATAATAATCAGCTCACTTTCACTTTTCAAACTTTAGGTGGGAATATATGCCTTTAGAGCCCAATATCCATAGGCCGATTTACAAGGAGGCCCAATTCCTTATTTTATTTGTTTTTTTTTTTCCCTACATGTAGACATATGTTATATCGTGCACCGCGTGTCAAAACGGCGCCGTTTCTGCAGTTATAACGGAGTGACACTACAATGTGTCTAAACCGACATTGTCTCACATATTATTTTTATATTATCAAATGAAACTGCAATTATATCAAAATGATACTGTAGTTGTGGTGAAATAAAACTATAGTATATATAAAATGAAACTGAATAACATTTCACATATTTGAGTGTATATTGTAAAATGAAGCTGTAATTATATTGAAATGATCATTTAGTTGTGTTTTAATGAAACTATAGTGTATATAAAATAAAATTAAATAACATTTTCACATATTTGAGTGTATAAATATTGAATGAAACTGTAGTTATATCGAAATGAAACTGTAGTTGTGTTGAACTGAAACTGCAGTGTATACAAAATGAAACTGAAGAACAGAGTTATTTTTTGCAAATGTTCTGTTTCTTTTCATTAAACAAAACGACGTCGTTTTGATGCGCGATGCACGATATAATTTGCGACATGTAGAGTTGTCAATCCGGGTTGGAATGACAAGTCGAAGCCCGCAATCTAGCAACACTGGTCTCTAAGATTCACAACTTAGCGGGCCTATAGTAGGATGGCTAGCCCCGCCATTTCAAGGCCCACCTTGCCATAGTTATGCTGTGCATCCGTATGCACCATGCATGGTGCATACGGATGCAAAAACGATGATGTTTTATTAAAAACGCGTGTTTTCTCTTAAAAAAAAAATTCAGGTTCAATTCCGCAGCAACAGCATTATGTTATTCATTCATTTTGAAATTTTAGTTCATAGATTATGGAATTTTATCTTCAAAAAAAAAAAAAAAAAGATTATGGAATTTTAGTTCATTGATTCTGGAATTATAATTCATCAATTCTGGAATTGTAGTTCATCGATTCCGAAATTTTAGTTCATAGATTCTGGAATTTTAATTCATTCATTCTGGAATTTTTAGTTCATAGATTAGATTCTGGAGTTTTAGTTCATAGATTCTGAAATTATAGTTCATCGATTCTGAAATGATAGTTCATCGATTCTGAAATTATAGTTCATCGATTCTGGAATTTTAGTTCATATGTTGTTGCTGGGAATCGAACCTGATTTTTTTTTTTTTTTAAGGGGAGACACGCGTTTTTAATAAAACGACGTCGTTTTTGCATCCGTATGCACCATGCATGGTGCATACGGATGCACAGCATAATTTGACAATTTTCTTTTAGATACACTCTAAGGCGCTATTCTTTAATATATAGTATTATTCTAACATACTAATCTAATATTCTAATTTTATTGCTATTATCCTTCAATAAGAAATTAATTATGAATTAGGTTTATTAAAAATTAAAAACTAAAGAATATATATATATATATATATATATAGGGACGCACTCAGGTGCGAATAAGTGCCCAGGAAGGAAATGCGAACGAATCAGTGCGTGACACGTGTCCAGATCTAATAACTTTAAAAAAAAACGCGGTGGCATTTTCGTAAATAATTGAACATCGAAGTGCAAGTAAAATCTCTTATAAGTGCACCTATTTTCACCTATAAGTGCATATAATTAGCATTCACTTTCCGCAACCATTCATGCACCTGGGTGTGCTTATAACTATATGTGCAACTATTTATAACAGTAGGTGCAACTACTTATAACTATATGTGCACCTACTTTCACCTATAAGTGCATGTAATTTTGTCTTGTTAACATTCATTGATCTGAGTTCAGCGGGTAGTAATACTCCTGAAAACCACTCGCAAACATTCATACACCTAGATGCAACTACTTATACCTATGTGTGCAACTACTTATACCTATGTGTGCAACTGCTTAGAACTATGAGTGCAACTAAGTATTGATGCTCAGTGTAAATTTTTATTTGCACCTATAATACATTTTACATGCACTTGTAATATATTTTACTTGCACTTCGATGTTCAATTAGTTACGAAAATGCCACCGCGTTTTTTAAAAAAATCAGTGTTTCTCATCCATTAGATCTGGACACGTGGACGAACAGAATCCATTCCTATTTCGCGTCTGGGCGAGCCGTTCGCACCCGAGTGCAACTCTCTCTATATATATATATATATATATATATATATATATATATATATATATATATATATATATATATATATATATATATACATGTCCGTCTAACCCGTGGGTCTCAGTCTCTCAGAAGCCTGCTCTTTTATAGGTCGTCAAAATTGAAACGAGTTCTACTACATAGACTCCTTCATTTATACTCCCTGAGGTGGCAAATTAAGGTTGATTACTTTCATCATGTGAGTCTACAAAAAAATATCTACATCAAAAGCATGTGAGAGAGAGTACAAGTTGGGAGTTTAAAATGGGAGTATACCAAGTATTTTCCAATTGAAACCCACCCATTATACCTATATATATAAAAGGCAGGGCAAGCTGACTTGTCAGACATAGGCCCTGTTTGGTAAAATGGCTGTTAGCTGATAGCTGTTAACTGTTAGCTGATTGTGTTAATTAGAAGGTATAAATAGTTGATAACATTAGCTGATTGTAGAAAAGTGTTTGGTAAATTAGCTGTTAGCTGATAGCTGTTGGTATAATTTCTTTTCTCAAAACGCTAATTGAAAAAGTTGTTTGGAGTAACTTTTTGAATTTTAGCCTTTTAGAGTTGCAAAAAGCTAATTAACCAAATATTTATATTAATATTTTAACTAAATCAAACAATTAATAGTGGTCAAATAAGCCAAAATTAGCCTATAGGTCAATATTTTACCAAACAGGGCCAAAGTCTATTTTGGTGGCTCTACTTATAGACTACGAAAGCTTGTTCTTTAATTTTTATATGATCAAAACGATGTGCAAATGACCAATTCTTCCCCGAACCGATGATTATGGTTCCGGAGACAACAGTTGTGGTCTATTACAACTTTTTGTAATTTTGTTATTTTTACTTTTTAGGGTAGGCTACACATAACAAGCTTGGTGCCGTTTGATCATATTATCTCTGTTTCTCAAGAACTCATTGGTATATAATTTCCCTTAAGTAATGTTGGCAAGTATTTATTACTTATAAAGGTAAATGTAATATTTTTGAGAAAAATTGTAATACTTTTGAATCAAAATGTAAAAGTATTATATTTTCCCATATAAGTAATAAATATTTTATTCTTGATTTAGTATTAAATTTTCAGTATAAATATTATATTTTATCTTGACTCAATTCGTCTCACGGACAATGATCCGTGAGACGATCTCACACAAATTTTTTCCTACATGTTCATTTTTATTATACTGTAAGTTTTTTTTTATTTTTTTTTTTATTTTTGTGTTGTATATGTTTAACTTTAGTAGATTTATTATACTTTTATACCAAGTTCATTTTTAGTGTATTGTATATTTACATGTTTATTTTTAGTATATTATAGTGCATGTTAAAATAAATAGGATTATTTTCAAATACAAACCCCCCTTAAAATACAAATTGTGTGCATGTAAGTATGTTAATATGTGCACGAGCTAATCCCAGATATTGTTGGCAGTGTGCATGTAAGTATGTTAATGTGTGCACGAGCTTTGGTGGATGATTGTGATTTTTTCCTCCTACGCGCTGTGTGCATGTAAGTATGTTAATGTGTGCACGGTCTTTGATGGATGATTGTTATTTTTCCTCCTACGCGCTGTGTGCATGTAAGTATGTTAATGTGTGCACAAGTTAATCTCAGAAATTGTTGGCAGTGCGCCCTGTGTGCACAAGCTCAAATTTGTATTTTAAAGGGGTTTGTATTTGAATACAACCCAAAATAAATATATCTATAATATACTAAAAATAAACTTTCAATATATTAAAAATAAATATGTGTCAAAGTTCCATGTTATTACGTGAATCACAGTATAAGCGTTGATATAACTTGGTCACGTTCCATTGCTTCCCCTTAGTTACACCCAATGTTTATTTCACTGGCAGAAACAAGTTACGCATTCTTGGGTTAGCTTTTGTTGAATTTTATGTTACTTTAAACTTTTATTTCTTAGAAGGGAGTTGGATGTATGTTGTGAACATAAAAATTTGAGTATAATTGTATAAATGAAAGAGAAAAAAGAAGGTACGTAAGTCTCGTGAAGGGTTGGTAAAGTGAGAGACGTACAACGTTGGTGAAGAAAATGAGAAGATATATAGTGTATAATAGTATGTAATATAATATTGCATATAATTAGATTTGGTTTGGCAAATTGATTTGAAAATACTGCTTCATTTTGCTTTTGGAATGTAGTGTAACGATGGTGTGATTGCCCCTAGTATATATCATGTCAAACTCAAACTTTATATGTAATATTTATCTTTAACGTACTAAAGCGTAATTATACTGTCATCTAGATAAGAACATTGAATAGTTTTTGTTTTTTTTGTAAAGTTCATGTTGGCAATGATGTTTTAATTATTTCATGACGTATAAATTGAAGATCATTATCTGTTCTTAACATTAATTTTTCATAGCATCCGATGCTAGTTGGATATGCATTACATAGGTTTTTTTTTTTTTTTGTTTTTTTTTTTCAAGTTAAATTAGACAAGTGTACAAACGCATCAGATTTTTTTTTTTTTTTTTTTTTTTTTTTTTTTTGATGTAATACTAGATATGAGAGAACCTAACATTTAAGTTTTTTTCAATAAAAAACTTTTGTAAAAAAAAAAAAAAAATTGCAATGGTATTGAGACATTTTGGAAAGTGATGCTT